GGAGGGCTGGGCATGGTGGTGCATATCTTTTACGCCATCACTGGGATGGGGAGGCAGAGGCAAGAGGGTGCCTGGAACTCAACAGCCAGCCTCCAGGTTCAGTGAGAGACTTTTGATTCAAAATAAGGTAGAGATTTATAGAGAAAGATACCCAGTGTCAGTTTCTGGCCTTGCACGAACTCACGCACACACGTATACACACACACAGAAGTGTGTACACGCATGCATGCGAGAACACACATATGTACACCACACATAAACAGCTGATGGAAAGCTGCTGGTATGGTATGGTAGTGAGAGTGAGTACCGCATAGGAGGCCTAGAACTCAATCCTGGTCCTCCAAAAATCGATGGAAAAATATTCTCTCCTTACTCCAAACCAAAAATCACTCTGCTCATTGGTTGCACTTCCCTCAAATGGTGACTAAGTTGCTGAAAACAGAGAGCTATTTATTATGCTTTGGCTTACAACAGCTAAGTGATGGCTTAAAATTATGCTGTAAGACTTGTACACAAAGTACAAAATCTACTACATCAGAACCAAATGCATGCCCACCTCAAAGTCTCAATGCCTCTTCATCTTCTAGTTCAGAGTGTGGCTTTTCTTACTCAAGATTTCCCCCTTGTCTGAAACAGGGGGATGTGGTAACCAAGTCATGTGGCTGCAAGTTGAAGAGACACAAACTACAAGCACTCAAACCAAGGTTTGGCCAAATAGGATCTGTTGGCCATGCAGGATCCTGGTGTAGAAGGCACCATGCCGGGCCCCTTCCCTACCCAACCACCCAGATGGTCATACCCTTCCACAGATGGCAGGGGATGGCTGGCCTGGGCTTGAAAGAGTCAGGAAGCTAAGATATAGATCAAAACCATAACTGGACAGTGGTGACAAATGTCTTTAATCCTAGCACTCTGGAGGCAGAGGCAGGCAGATCTCTAAGTTAGAGGCCTGCCTGTTTTACAGAGTGAGTTCTAGGACAGTCAGAACTACACAAAGAAACCCTGTCTCAAAAAACCCCAAACCACAACAAAACATTGTAAAGTATATTCCAGGGCACATGAGGGTTCTGGGTTCCACTTGTAGGCAGCCTAGCACCCTCAAACCCCTGTACAAGAAGGCCACACCTAGCACAAAATAAGGATGAACAAGATAATGAGAGGGTTAGCCCCCTTTAAAAGAAACCCAAGCCTGGGGTGGCAGTTCATACTTGGAATTGAAAGAGTTGTTGGGTAGAGTAGGATCAGAGTTCAAGATCATCCTTGGCTACATAGTGAATTTAAGGCCAGCAAGAGCTATATGAGATCCTGTCTCAAAAAAGGCAACAACAACAAAAATGGACTTTTCTGGAGAGCAGACTCAGTGGTTAAGCATTTGTTGTTCTTGCAGAAGATCTGGGTTCAATTCCCAGCACCCACATGGTGGCTCACAGCCCTCTGTAACTCCAGCCCCAGGAAATCCTCTTCTGACCTCTTTGGACACCTGGCACACATGTAGTACACATAAATACATGCAGGCAAACATCCACACACATAAAATAGTAAAGTAAATAAATCTAAACAGAACAAACAATGACAACCACACCTAAGCTGTAGCTGAAGCACAGGGAACTTGAAACTGTCCTTTCTCCAGCCTCAGGTGCTGTGTCCTTCCTACAGCTCCCCAAACACATCCCAGCAACTACTGGAGACAAATACACTCCACCATCCACATTGTCTGCCTTACATCCTTAGCCACTAAGACACGAACAGAGTGACCCCTTGAGACGGGGCAAGAGAAAAGCTAACAGTGATAAAACAAACAACAACAAAAACACAAATGGGCTGTGCCTATTAGTCTGCCAAGTTTAATCTTTTTTTTTTTTTTTAATAAAATCTCAGGCTAAAAAGATGGCTCAGTGGTTAAGAGCATGTATTGCTCTTCCAGAGGACTCAGGTTTGATCCTCAGCATCCACATCAGACAGTTCACAACTACCTGAAACTCCAGCTCCAGGAGGGTGGGAGGTCGTACACGCTCATGTACATACAAAGACACACATATGCACATAGCTTAAAATGATAAATTTTAAAAATTAAAAAAAAAGGGGGGTTTCCTCCTTTCGTATGCCAGACTGGCCTTGAACTTTCAATCCTGCTGCATCAGCCTTCCTCATGCCACAGTGTTTTATTCTTAAAGCCACCTCATAGAGCCAGGCACTGTGGTACACAACTGTAATTCCAGCACCTGTCAGGAGAAGGCACTCTAGAGGTGGAGGCAGCAGTGTCAGGCGTCCAAGGCTAGTCTTTGGACCCAGTCTTAAAAAAAAAAAGAAATTCCCAAACATATACAAACAATAACAAACCCCAGGCACACTCCAGTCTTCACATAAAAGACAGGGAGGTGCCTGACCAGGTTCCTCAGGCTGGGAAAAGGGCTGTTCTTTCCAGCAGCATGGAGGAAGCCTCAAGTTTCTCAGAAAGGAAGGCGGGTATCACAGGCCTCAGAACTTGATAGTGAGGAGGGGGTGCACTCAAGGCACATTTTGAAAGTTCCCATTTAAAAAGATCCTTGTTCATTGACTTTGGTGGAGCAGTTACCCTAAAGCAAACAAGGGGAGCTTGTCTAGGAGCTGGTGGGGGAGGTGCTTCAGCTGAGCCCTCTGCAGACTCTGGCTTATGGGGTCTTCCACCCCCACGTGGCTCATCATTCATGAGGTTGTTCCCACTGCGGAATCTTTACTGGACACCACTGAACATTCATATCACCTGGCCTGCAGGCTCCTAATGGCATATCACTAAGTGCACCCTTGCTGACATAATTACATTATGATTAAAAAAAAAAAATCTAGGGAACCACAGGAGGTGAACATAGAGTAGCATCTTCACCCACCCTTAACAAGAACACAGCTTTTAGCACATTCTGGTTCCACAAATTACAGGCACGGTTCTGCCAGGGGTGTTCCCCAGGAGGGCACTAGCAATTTGGGGTTGTCTGCCACCTACAATGATCGCCAGTCTCTCTTATTCAATGCCAGGCCACAAATCTGTCAGAAACCATCCCTTGCTGGGGCACCAGGGTCTTCAGGACAATGAGAAGGCACAAGGCAGGGTGGCCCAGCCATCCTAAACCCTAACAGCAGCTTTGTTCAATCCTCCCATCTGCCTTCTGCATAAAACAGATGATATCAATTCAGCACCCTCTAAACACCAGCTCAAATACCTTCTGAAGCTCCTTTCCTACACGAGACCAGGAGCTGCAGCATCAGAGCCCCCCTCCGCCCCCGCAGATCTGCAGGGCAGACGGAGAAGGGGCAAGAACCCTTTCCAGCTCCCTCAGCCCCTCCCCGACTCCCTCCTCTCCAATAAGAAAAGTTGGGTGTTAAAGGCAAGCTACCTTGGAGATCACCCAGTCCAATCTCTGATCTGCTTTCACGATGCGACAAGGGCCAAAGCTGCAGCACACAACAGCTCTGCAAGGGAAGCCAGTGAATCCTCCACGGCATGGGGTGCTGGCCCTGGGCGGCCTCCACAGTCCCCGGTTTGAGATGGGATGTCTCCCAAATAAATCACACACATAAATAACATGCATTTCAAACCTTTCAATGGAACAACTTCTTTTCAGCAGCAGTCAGTCATCAAACAACCAGATCCAATGCTACTCAAGTGTAGGATTTTCAGATGACCTACTTCCCCATCCCCCCACCCCCCAAAGCACTTGATTTCTTCATTATGCTGGAGTCTCTTCCCACCTGGAGCCCACACAGCTTCAGGCCACGGTCACCGCCTCTCCCCCTTCTCTGAAGCTTCTGCAAAATCTCTGCAGAGCCTTAATCAACTTGCTCTTCTAAGGTGGGATTTGGATCTAAGCAGCAAGAGGGTGTTGTTCCCATTTGTTTCAAGGCTGGTGGAGGGTCCCAGTTCCAACGACCAGCCATTTGTCATTCTGAATCAGTGAGGCACCCCTCCAACTTTTCACTTAACATTTTCTTGCTACAAGAAAAAAATAAGAGGAAAAGATTTCCACCACACCCTACCTGTCAGGAGGACAGTGGCGGCAGCTGAAGGGAATTTGCTTAGAACACACTTCCACCGTTCAGTGGGGTGACCCAGGTGTCCTGTGGTCCACCCTCTGAGTTGCTGGGCCTAGATGACCACTAGAAACAATTGCTTCAATCACTCATCTTGCAAATCCTGTCTCCAGGCAGGCACTCGTCTTTGAACACCTTAGTAACAAGGAGCTGCAAGACCCTGTGTGTGGTCAGCTAGGGGACCAGAAGGGGAGACTGAGGCAGAAGTTGAAGTCACACTCCATCAATATCCCACGGGGAAAGTACGAGACCCAGACTCCCCAGGAGACGTAGTGCCTCTTCCCTCCCACGTCTGGGCTCACCTTAGAGAATTATTACGAATAACTAACGGCAGGCTGTGTTCCCCATCGTGGACATACCTCCCCTGGAAAAGCCCTCCGCAGGAGTGTGCTCTCGGGGTGCCCATCTAGCGCAGCACACCTTGGAGAGGAATGGGTTAAGCTCAAGGGGCTGGAGAAAGATGGGGAGAGAGACGGGGCTTCTCCAAATCCGAAGCTGTGCACCTAGAGTTCAGTGCTCCCGTCTTCTCCAGGGAGGAGGTGGGCTTCAGGAAATAAAAGGTGCCCGGGAAAGGTCAGGCCACCAGCTAGCAGCGCTGCAAGCAATCTGTGTTGGGGGACAAGGAGAGAGAGCGGTGGCCCAGGAACATTTCAAGGTGGTGGGCCGGTGAACTCCCAGAAGTTAGCAAGGGCTGGAGAGAGGAGGGTGCGCACCCAACGCCAGAGGCGGGAGGTGAGCTCTAGGGTGGCCCCGGGCCGGTGCGCAAGGAGGCACACACCGCGGCCGCGGGGCCCGGGATGCGGACGAGCAAGGGCAGGTGCGGGCTGCAGCGCAGCAGCCGGGTGGGGGCGGGGAAGAGACGTCGGGTCGGTCGGGCCGCCGGTTCGAGGCCCGGGCCGCGCGGAGGGGGCGGGGCGGCAGGTGCGGCCGCTCACCTGTCTCCTCCGGCCGGGGCCGCGGGGCTGGCTGGCGGCTGGGGTGCGGG